GTGATGCATACTCTCTCATAAATGTCTAAGCTTTTCTTAATGGCTATTTGAGAAACAACTCAGAAAATCTAGCTCCTGGAAAGAACATGCTTTGCATAGGAATTTTCTTATGTTGCTTCTATAACCACAAAGAGAATTCAGCTTTCTGCCAATCACACTAATGGACAAATACATCCTTAGTAAGGATCAGAGCCCCATGGTGGGAAAGTGGAACAACTCAACCATCACTTCAATAGGCAGGTGTGTGTTCAAGGATTTTGTATCACACTCAAGGAGATGTGGGGCTCCTGCTGGTTAAGAAGGGTATAGACTACAGTGGTCCCTTATTGTTAATCACCATTGCTAAGCTGAACTAAAGCATCCCAAGGACATAACATATATTACCATTAAGTGGTGTCTTGTGACTCATAAGGCAAGGCTGCAGAGTCAAGTAAACCAATTAAGTTAAGATAAAAAGCAAAAGGAAGCTGCCATAAGGGACCTTAAGTCCTCTAGTGGAGGAAGCCTTCCTACAGATTTGGATTTCAGAGCATTCCATGTGAGGTCTGAGAGTAGAGGCTATCAGAGTGTCATGGCAAAAAAAGAGCAGGAATGACCTACACATAGGTGGCCTGAGTGATCTGGCAGCTGCAGGAATTGGGGTTCTTAAGCAGGGAAAATAAAAGAGGAATCTCACTGAAAGGGAACTTTCTAGTTCTGAGAGCCATTCCTGACCCCTCCTTCTCTGAGCAGTAAGTGCCTTGGCCTGTGAGCATTGGAACCAGGAATTGAAAGGAACTCTGTAGCAGGGGGGATAGCCATCAATTCCAAGCTATCCCGTGCTAATAAGTGTGACTCCTTCTCAAAAATAATCTTATCAAATTCAAAGACCCTTCCCAAAGAATTAAGATCTTGGTTAAAACTAAAGCACACAGAGGAGCTTCATCCATACACAGGAGCTTTTAATACTACTCAAGGCTGAGTTGAACTACTGACTCTTTCAAAGAACCTGATGTTGTAGAAGTGGAGAGAACTGATAGAAAAGGAGGCAGAGATGTTTTGATATGTGTTTTCCTAATGGCTAAGGATGTTGAGCACTTTCTTAAGTGTCTCTCAACCATTTGAGGCTCCTCTATTGAGAATTCTCTATTTAGTTCTGTACCCCACTTTTTAATTGGATTCTTTGGTGTCTTGGAGACTTGCTTCTTGAGTTCTTTGTAAATTTTGGAGATCAGCCCTCCGTCAGATGTGGCATTGGCGAATATCTTTTCCCATTCTGTTGCATGCATTTTGTCTTGTTGACTGTGTCCTGTCAGAATAGCTAAAATAAAAAGCACCAATGACAGTTTATGCTGGAGAGATGTGGAGAAAGGGAAACACTCCTCCACTGATGGTGGGAGTGCCAACTTGTACAGCCTATTTGGAAATCAATATGGAGATTCCTCAGAAATATGGGAATCAGTCTACCACAAGACCCAGCAATTCCACTCTTAGGCATATACCCAAAATAGGCACATTATATAACAAGGATGTCTGTTCCACTATGTTCATAGAAGCATTATTTTAATAGCCAGAACCTGGAAGCAACCTAGATGCCCCTCAACTGAAGAGTAGATAGAGATAGAGAAAATGTGGTACATTTACACAATGGAGTATTACTCAGCAGGAAAAAACAATGGAATTTTGAAATTTGCAGGCACTAGAAGAAGCCATCCTGAGTGAGGTAACCCATTCACAAAAAAACATAGTATGTACTCAGTCATATATGGATTTTACACATGAATCAGGGGAGTGCCAGCCTACAATCCCACCACTGCCAGAGTGTCTGGGAAACAGGAGGACCCTAAGAGAGATATACATGGTACCCCAGAGAAGGGGAATGGGACAAGATCTCCTGAGCAGATTGGTAGCATGGGGTGAGGGGAGAGGGAGCTGAGAAAAAGAGAGGGGGAGAAGATGAGGGGAGAGGAGGACATGGGGACCAGGAAGGTTGAGAACAGGATGAGAAATACCATAAGAGAGGGAGTCATTATAGGTTTCAGGAGCAGTCTGGCAATAGTGTGATTTCCAGAGATCTACAAGGATGACACCAACTGGCAAACTAAGCAGTAGTGGAGAGGTTACCTTAAAAGCCCTTCCCCAATAATGAATTTGACAACTACCTTATATGCCATCCTAGAGACATCATCCAGTGGCTGATGGAAGCAGAGGCAGACACCCACAGCTAAATAGTGAACTGAACTCCTGGAACCCAGTGACAGAGAGTGAGGAGTGATGAGCAAAGGGATCTAGACCTACAGAAACAGCTGATCTGAACAAAGGGGAGCTCATGGATCCCAGACTGATGGCTGAGAGGCCAGAATGGGACTTATTTGGGTGTCAGTGAGGAGGCCTTGGTAGTCTATGGGGCCTCAGGTAGTAGATCACTATTTATCCCTGGCATATGAATGGACTTTGGGAGCCCATTCCACATGGAGGAATGCTCTCTCATCCTGTACACATGGGTGAAGGCCTAGGCCCTGCCCCAGATGAAATGACAAACTCTGGAGATCCCCCATGGCAGGCCTCACCCTCCTTGGGGAGAGAAGTGGGGATTGTATGGAGGATTGGGGAGGTTGGAGGGGGCCAGTGGAGGAGGGAGGGAGAGGGAGCTGGGATTGGACATGTGACACAAGAGGCAGAGGAAAACATCAGAATGACAAAGTAAATAGATGCTGACTACTTTTGAAATTATAATCCCCACATTTCCATTTTTGGAGAGAAAATGGTGCTTCAAACTTTAAGGAAGTGATCATAAGCCACAACAGAAGGTCTTCTCTTTCCAGCTGAATCGTTATCAAATGTCAAGCTCGTCTCCTGGCTCTCAAACCCTGTTAGTCATTAAGAAGAGACAGCACACACTCACGTGTGTTTTAATGATGGATTACCGTTTTTAATTGATGCTGTGTCAGTTCAGTATAACACCTTCCATTTTTATTCATGGAGCAAGCCTGAGCATCTGTCATTACTGGAAGTAGACTACTTCTGAGGTGAGAAGCGTCTTGTTGGAAGGAAATGCGCACGTGTCTCTTGTGGCTAACAGAAGAGAGGAGGGTGTGAGGAAGAACAATGTGTGGTCAGCACATTCAAGTTGAGATTCCCTCCCCCCCCAACTTGTGGGTGGTGTTGGCACCTGCTACTGACATCTCTGCTGTGTATGCTTCTCATACACAGAGGGGAAGCTGTGTGTGATTCATGCCACTATAGGTTAGAAGAGGAACTCACAGAAACCTGACCCTTGGCCACCTAGAAAATTCCAAGAAAGCTGAATTGTTCCTGATAACCTCAGTACACACTCCCTAGGATCCTTAAAGAAATTATGGGATTGAAAAGCAGGCAAAAATCTTTATAATTCTGTAATCCCATATCTAAGTTTCTGGGCCTGGGTCCTGCCAGCCCTAACAACCCAGGTTCAGCCACCCATCCTCAGTAACCCAACTACAAGAAATGTCATGGTGAAATGAGAGAAAGGAGATGGTCAGTATAACCAACTAGAAGAGAAACAAGGCATCTAGTTACCTCCAGGTCCATCTTCTGATTTAGATTTAAACAAAAGGCAAGACATGTCATAGCTAAGCAGCTCTGGTCAAGGTGTGATCCTGCCAAGGTGACATGACTTAGACAGCTCCAGTCTCTCCTGGGTCTGACATGTCACAAACATGCAAAACATATTTCCTGAAGACAAATTCCTTCTCTTGATGGCACAGCTTCAAGAATTTTCCTTCTAAGAGCACGAGATTCCTGGGGGAAATGCCAGGTCTTTGGAACCATCATTTTAATAGTCTGATACCAAAGGTAGAGGCACAAGTGTCTCTTTAGAACTTTACTCTGACCAATACGGCTACATGATGCCTTAGTTAGGATTTCTATTGCTGTGAAGAGACATCATGACCACAGCGACTCTTTTAAGGAAAACATTTGATTAGAGTGACTTGCTTACAGCTTCTGAGGTTTGGTTCATTATCATTATGGCGAGGAGCATGGCGGCATAGAGGAAGACATGGTGCTGGCTACATCTTGATCAGAAAATAGACTGAGGCACTGGGCATAGCTTGGATATATATGAGACCTCAAAGCCCATCCTTGCGGTGACATTCATCTTCCAACAAGGCGATACCTACTTCAACAAAACCATACTCCCAGTAGTACTACTACCTGTGAGATTATGGGGGCCAATTGCATTCAAACTACCACAATGCCTATATTTTCCAGTATAACTTTAGGGACACATTTGTAGAAATTCAAATAATATAGAAAAAACTAGTGACACAAAGTGTCCTTCCCCACATTTTGAATCCACCAGGCTAAAGTCACCAAGAAAACAGGGCCATGGAACTTATTCAAGATGATTCTTTATCATCACTGGCTAATTTTTGTCAACTTGACACAAACTAGAGTCATCTGGAAAGAGAGACTTCTTCCCATTAATTGAGAAGATGCCTCTGTAATACTATGATTGATGAGAGAGGGCCCAGTCTATTGGGGGTTGTGCCACCCCTGGGCAAGTGGTCCTAAGAACACTTGTGCCCCTCCCTTTGTTATCAAACTATTAAAATAATGGTTCCAAAGAACTTGGATTTCCCCATGAGTCTCCTGCTCTTGAGAAGGAAAACTCTGGAACCCATGCCATAAAGCAAAGGAATTTGTCTTCAGGAAATATGTGTCTATGAGTTTGCGACATGTCAGACCTAAAGCACTGAGTAGGCCACAAGGAGGTAGCCAGCGAGCAGCACACCTCCAAGGCCTTTGCTTCAGTTCCTGCTCTAACTACCCTTTATCAGGGACTTGAATCAGAAATAAACCCTCTCCTCCCCACGTTACCTTCGGTAATGGTGTTCACCACAACAATAGAAAGCAAAATAGGACATACATGTTGTAGCACCCGCAGTACAACACTTATCGATTCGGGCAAGGGCCTGAGGATTGAAATAAAGACAAGAGACAGTGGGTCATTCTTGCAAGGAGAATGCTGTTTACTGCATCAAGAGAGGAGCCTTATATACCGGTGAGCAGGTATGGTGGAAAACTACCAAGGTCAGAAGAACATGTTCTCAGGCCCCTCTGGCAGTAAGGATGGGTGGATAACAGGAACTTGTGTTCAGGGCTTATTGGAAGGAGGGAAACAAGAAGTATTTGTTAGATAAGCTCCTAGTAGGAAGCTGGTCAGAAGATCCCTTTGGGGGAAGGGCCCAACACATGCACAATTAAATATTCATTTATAAGTAAGTATTCATTCATATTTACACAAAAGATCAAGGTGTGAAATGTTTCCTAATCCTTGTTTCCTGCACTTAATAAATGACATTAAAGATGTCTCAATACCACCCATGCAGACCTTCTTCAACTTCTCAGAATGTAAGATTACCTGTGCACATCATGTAGATCTTCAAATGCATCCAAAGACATCTTCTAAATCTGATTGCTTGGCTTCTTGTCTTTCTTTATTCTCATAAGCACAGATTAGTGTGTTTCCAGTTCAAATAATTTAGCCTGCTTTTCCAAGGGCATAAGAGATTAAAACTGGCTAGTTTAAGAACACTTCTATTTCCCTTAGAAAATAAAGAATTTATACCATTTTAATATCAATACTATAAAATTTAAGAATTTCTCCAATATAATAAATGACAGTGTAAAACTACTACCTTTATCTAAATATCTTTAGAAATATATATTCATATTTTTTCATTGGTAGGTTTAAAACTTAAATTTTATATGCTTTCTTATCAAAATTTGCCAGTAAAAACATCACATTTTATGCTAAATGCATAAAATATATTTGATAGCTTATAAAGTAAATCTTCAATAGAAGTGAAGTTTCTAGCCCGAGCAGCTATCCTAACTGTATAGACTTTGAATCTGGTGAATTTGGATTTGAGATTTTTTTTATTCACTATTTTTATTTATTCATAACACCTTTAATATGATGTATCATTTGTTCATTTTATTATGATTTTAGTTCCTATGTTATTTAACACACATGTTCTGTTAAGGCTTTTGATACTGCTACAAAAGTTAGTATATAAAACATGCTATATAGATATTCTTTGAATTTTCATGTTTGTGCTGTTACACACATACAAGATTCTGAGTTTTTATGTGAGAACATTTATTAAAGTTGATTAAGCCTGAGTCCTCCATACAATGCTTTGTCTACTTCAGTATGATTTATAAATCCAGCCACTCTTAATTTTAGTATTTTGTAAATAATTTTTAGATGAAACTTTATTTATATGAAATTTTAGGGTGTATGCAAAGTAAGGTGGAAATCCAACTTTTAAAAACTATGTGTAGGGCCTGGACAGATGGCTCAGTGATGAAGAATGTTTACCACTCTTGAAGAAGCCCCAAGTTTGATTCCTAGAACCCACAAGGGAGGTTCAGACCAGCCTGGAACTCTAGCTCCAGGGAATCCTTACCCTCTTCAGGCTAAGGGCAGTTGCACAGTGCATCTTACACACACACACACACACACACACACACACACACACACACAGTCTCACACACACACAAATAAAATTCTAAAACTGTGTATTTCTACTATCAGAAAATTCATAAATTGAGCAAAGATAATTTGTCTGCAAATACAATGACTTTGAATTCACTTAAATGTGTGGTATATGTGTGATGTGAATTTTTATAAAATTTTGTGTTTTCTTTACATAAGTATAGCTATTGCTTATTAACAGCATATAAAACACTATGCATGTCGGTTAAGTATACAATTTATGTTCATTTTATTTTCCTTTTCTATGCTTGTTATTCTTGCACATGAACTTCCTTAGTAATATTTTACAAAGATTGCAGAGATAATCATATGTTCTGTTCTCTTAAGACACATGAGAATGATTAATTATATTTATTAATATATTCCTTGTCTCAGATGCAATTTTAGATGGCAAAAAAACAACAATAATTTTAAGCAAGAAACATGCTCAAGGCCAGGATGTTGGCTCCATCTCTGTCATCCTGGCAGCCAGGGCACCGGCTAGACCTGAGTCAACAAAAGCTGCTTCCTCAGCCACTGCAAGACAGAGAATTGGGGAAAGCCCTATCTTTGCTTCAGGCTCTAGAACTTTAACACCTGAGCTTGTGGAGGGCATGGCTTTGAGTCAGGAAGCTACCTCTACATGGAATGATTTCAGACCAACTTCAGATAAGAATTCTTATTGTGGAACTGGGGAGACAGCCCAGTTATTCACGTGCTTGCCATTCAAGCATAAGGACATGCATTTGATCCCCAGACTGTGTGTGCTGTTTAGTTTTCTGTTAACTTGACACAAACAAGAGACATCTGGGAAGCAGGAACCTCAAATGAAGAAATGCCTTCCTCAGACTGGCATGAGGGCAAGTCTATGGAACATTTTCCTAACTAATTATTAATGTGAGAGGGCCCAGTCCAATGTGGTGCCAACCATAGGCATGTGAAACCAGGCTGTATTAAAAAAAAAGGTATGAATATGAACCTGAGGGCAAGCCAGTAAATGATATTTACCCATGGTTTCTGCTCCAGTTCCTGCCTCTAGGTTCCTGCGTGGTGTTCCTGCCCAGACTATTATTCCAAATATAAGTTGTGAGATGAAACCAACCCATCCCTCCACGGCTTGCTTCTGGCCACTGTGCTTGTCACAGCAATAGAAAGCAAAAAAGAGTAGTGTGTCAAAACAAATCCCAGGGCTTGTAATCCCAGGGACGGGTAGGTATAAGGCATATTCCTGGGGTGCCCTGGTTAGATATTACTCTCTGATCAATGACATACAATTGAAAGCTAAATATAGAAATCTCCTAAGTAAGCAGAACTCGGTCTCATAGAATGATGCTGCCCACATTGAAGGTGAATCTTCCCATTCCTCACACTCACTCTCAGTGGTTTGTCTCCTAGATCACTCTACTATATCATATTTAATTGCCAATAAAGATTTACCATCACAAAATAAAATGTGAGAAAGCATACGTAAAAATTTAATAGAAAAAATTACCACAATTGATGGAGGCATGATGAATACTGAGGACAATTTGAACATAGGCATAATAGAGGTCTTAAGAGAGAAAGGGCTGGAAGAAACTAAAGCTTTATGAACTTCCCATTATAAGAACAGTGACAGCGGCTGTGTCCCAACTTTGCTATGCTCTGCACTATGACAAATGTACAAAAACGTCTGCCCTAGTTATCTTTAGCTGTCACTTTGACACAGACTAGACACACCTGAGAAGAGATTCTCAATTGAGACATTTCCCACATCATCTTGACTTATGGGAGTGTCTTGGAAGGGACTGATTGTTAATTGATGTAGAAGGGTTTAACCCACTGTTGGCAGCTCCATTCCCTAGAGGGTAGTCTTGAGTTATATAAGAAAGCTAGCTGAACATAAGCCAGCTGGCAAGCTACCTAAGAATCAGCATCCTCCATTGTTTCCACCACATCTCCTTGACTCTAAGTGAGTCTCTTGGTCAAAAGTCATGCTCTGTAGGACTTGAATGCCTTCCATCCCTTCACTGACTTTGTGCCTCAACACCTCTCAGTGATGTACTGTCACCTTGAGTGATAAGCCAAATAAACCATTTCCTCCCCTAAGCTGCTTCTGGTCATGGTATTTGCCACAGTAAGAGAATGAAAACAGACAACCTTCACTTAAGAGCTATTGAGAAGAGCTGCAGAGTGAACACTGGAAGAAAGACTATATAAAATCCCAGGTGCTAGAGGGGATCTAATTCTGTGTCTTATAGGATCACAGATATCTCAGTGCTGATAGCTCAAGCCTCTATGGGCACCACTAACCAGCCAAGGAAAAGAACTGGTAGACAAAGGATCTTCGCATGTTCCTTCAGGCGACAATTACATCAAGCAAAACCTCACACTCATTTGGGTGATGGTGTTACATGCCTTTAATCCCAGCACTCAAGAGGCAGACAGAGGCAAGCAGATATCTATGAGTTCAAGGCCATCTTAGTCTACAGAGTAAGTTCCAGGACAGCCAAGACTACACAGTGAAACCCTGTCTCAAAAAAACAAACAAACAAAAAAGACCTCACACTGACTTGGAATCACTAGAATCACTTTCCACAGGAACTCTTCTCTTCTTTCCAGGACAGACCTTTTAATTATACATCCTCTTTTAATTATACATGCTTTTGCACAGGTTCACACAGAACCTGGGGTTAATTTTCAAAATTTTCTATTTAATTATGAGTATGTTCTTCTTCAAAATACTTCCATGAGTCCCTGTGATTTTTTATGGCAAACTACAAGATGTTTTGCAAGGTTCATACATTTCCTCTAGGGCCTTTATATGCTGTTTCAGTCTTGTTTCTGAGTTTTTTCTCCAAACCATTTTTCTACACCAAATATAGAAGCACCAAAAAATAAACACTAGTAGAGAGAGTACCTTTAGTTGAAACAGGAGTGTGTATAGACTAATACACACTGATGAGAGAAAATCATGCAGCAAGAATACACAAAACTGGGTAAGTAGCCCTTGAAAGCTTTGGATACTATAGCTTACATTAATAGGCAGAGAATCCACAGTAGGCCAAGAGCAAGAGAGGGAAGTATAGAGTCCTGATTCTTGAGTTTGGCTAAGCACTAGAGTAAGCAGGAAAACCTAGGTTGTAGCTTCTAATGCAGATTCAACAAGCTTTCCAAGGCCCCCAGCTGCACTCCACTTTGAGAGCCTTTGCTTTAGAGAAATTTTCAAAGAAGTGTCAGAGAGTAAGTTCCCAGTGGGTTTCCAATATATAGGAACAGGAAATGAGAGTGTGCAGTTGATGGCTTAATGGGAGATTTCATGCAAGTATCATATAAAGCAGTTAAGGTCTAGAGAAGGGTGGTGGCAAGGAATGGAGTGAAGTGGAGATTCAGTGATGTTATCAGATTGTTTGTGCAGACAAATCTTAAACAGTGTATGGCTAATTGAAAGATTTGTAAAAAAGATGTCAAATTGGTCTCAGATAGTTCCAAACATGAGTAATACAACCTTTATGCTATGACAGACCATTTGCCATTTTCCAACCACATTTACCTGTTAATGTGGTAGACATTTGTGTGTATTCATTCATTTTGGTTTACCATCCATGTTGTGAGCTAGCCAGTAGTTTCATGTTAACTTATGAACTTCCTTGAATAGAGTTCAGTTTTCAATGTCAGAGACATTCCTTACAATCAATCAGAATCACTAATATAATCAAAGTCATAGATGCCAGAAAATGATTGCAAACACTGGTTGCCTGCCTTCTATCCTTTCCATCTTGTGCTCTATACCTTATTGGACAACGGCTGATTCTAAGCTTGCATCCCTCTTACAGCTAGCACAGTCCCCAATAGAGCTCTCCACTCATTGCCTCAGAAAGTGACTTTGCAATTTTCATGAAATGTTCAGACAATCAGTGTTGAAATGAACACAACTTCACTTTTCCAAACAAGCAATTTAAAGCCAGGGTTGCATTCGTTCCTCACTTTGATTGATTGATTCCAATATACTTGATTATAAAGATAATGGCAGCTTTCTAGGAAGTGCAATTTTCAGTGTGAGAAAATTATATTGAATGAATTTCAACAATTAGCTGTTATTTTCTGTTCACAATGTTAATTTAGATTATTGAAGGAGGAAATTATTATATTCCATGTTAACTTGGGTTTCTGCAAAGGGTGAAGCTCTTTGTCCAGTCAGTGTCCCATTGTGTGTTTGGAAAACCAAATACTATAACATATCTCATCCTCCGAGGTACACTTTGAGACTGTTTAATAGAATATAGAATCAGATAGAATGTCAAAATGTTCCAAAGACAAGCACATTGTATTGAAGTTGTGACCTAGCCTATTTGGTTGCTTTTCCTTTGTTCGAGGAGCAAAATATTTTTGAGATATTAATATAATGCTTTGTCCAAGACCTACTTTTGACTCACAGAGCATCATTATATTTGATCCATTGGGGGGCCATTTTTATAAGCCAAGTGCCCAAGAGAATACACCTTCTAGACAGATTTCAGAAAATAGCAATGACTATCTTCCTTATTTTTAATTCACCACAGATAAACAAGCTAAAGAAAATTACTCCTAATATATTAAGGAATTTCTTTATCAATACAGCCCACACAAAGGCTGAGGTGGAACTCAATGGTGCATTGCTTGCCTAGACGCAAAATGTCCTGAGATCTATTCTAGCACCACAAACACACACACACAGCAAAAATACACACAGAAGAAAAATACAGACAAGCAGACACACAAAAACATCAAACATGGAACTTTTCAGTTTTTGTTTGTTTGTTTCCACTTATAAAACAGATGTACTGGATTGGAGAGACAGAGAAATGAAGCAACTGTTAAGAGGACCCAGGTTCTCTTTTAGAGGACCCAGGTTCAATTCCCAGAAACCACATAGCAGCTCACAACCATTTGTATGTACCTCCTGTTCCAGGAGATCCAACACCCTATTTTGGCCTCTATGAGCACTGTGCTCATGTACCACATATACATAAAATATGTAAACTGATAAAAATATGAGAAGACATACCAGTGGGATTGGCAGGCATCATGTGGCTTCTTCAGGGACAAAACCGAAGAATAGCAGAGATGACTCTCATTGTGGCAAGACTCTGGAGACCCTGAATCACTCAACAAAGACCTATGGACAGTTCATTGCATGACTCTGGGCATGGCCGCTACATGCTCTCCTTGCTTTCACTATGTTAGTCTTACTGCTGGCCTGAATGAGTCACAGGAGGGCATAAAGTTTAATATTAAGTATTTGCTTAAGAATGATTTTGTCCATAAGAGTTTTGAAGAAATGTTATTCAGTAGATGGTATCAGGAGTTAATAGAAGCATTCAAGGAATAGGGAGTGAAGTGGAATCATAGAAACTCACAGTTCTCTCATTTCTGATAACTATGCCAACACCTCAAGAAGATAAGGGAGATAGATATAATGACAAGGAATAAACAGCACCAACTACTGAGAGTAAGCTTTCAAATTATGTTGCTTATAGAATAAATGGAAAGCCCTGGTACAACCCCAGAAGAGATGGAGTAACACAAAATGTAGACTGGATTGATCCATCTTTGGCTGGTTATTTGATTGTGATAACCTAGACCCTACCAGATGTAAATACTAACCACAAGAGACAGAAATAGCTCTTGCCTTGTAAGATACTATAACCAAATGGGCACACTGTTCTACCTGTAGGTGTGCCTAATTAGAAAAGATCCTTTGTAACTTCTAACAGTAGAGACATAAATCAAAAGGATAATGGCTACTAGTTGGAAAGTTGGGAGGAGGTAAGGAATAAACTGGCAATTATGTAACCATTTTCAGAAACTTAAGGAAATGACACTGATTGTAAGACTGTTCATGTAAAACATCAAAACCGTATAAATAAAAATGTCCCAAGCTATTCAGGGCCACTTGTTTGTACAACAGGTGGACATGGTCTTTTCTTGACATTGATCTCATACATCAGCCCCAGGTCATTGAATCCATCTGGAGCAAGGCTTCCAACATGGGATGTCACAGGACAGGCATTAAATGAGTGACGATGTATTCAGAGTACCAGATTGAAACAGATCAGATCACATGGTGGAGATTCAAAGGTTGTTAAATCAACAAAAAAATAAAATGTAAAGGGAGGATCAAATCTCTTGTTCATAGAAATTACAAGGAATAGGTAAGTCTGAACCTAAGAGGAAGACTGATGCTAGTATTTCCTATCCATGGAAATTATCCCCTACCCCTTTGTGTAATGAGAATCTACACAGAAGTGTTTTAGAGAAGCTCATCATAAAGGACCTGGAAAGTTGAGGAGGTGAGATTATCTGGGTGCCACAGATTCTACACATGCTACTCCAGGTTCTCCAGGAAGTGAAAATCAACATGAGATTTTCTAACATCAGCAAACAACCTGGTCACCATGCAACAGATGGTTGGATAATAAGCACAGTTCAATGAAACACCAAACGTGTCAGTTTTTATATCATCTATGATTTGTTTTAGTGTAGTCATGTTTTGTAGCTTTCAGTATCTAAGCCATTCACATTTTTGTAGCATTTACCCTTAAGTAACTGGTACTATTCTTGTTTCACTTACAATTTGAACTCCTAGTGTAATTGATACCATTTTTATATGGGTCTTTCATCTTATCAGTTTTATTATAGTTCTGCATATTCTGTTTAAGTCTCTACATAGGCATCATGTTGCATGCAGATAAAGACAGTTCAGAACAGGTTAGATGTCTCAGTGGGTCCTCAAAGTGCTTTCATTGAAAGCCTGATGACCTGAGTTTGATTTCCAGAATTCATAATGAAAGGAGAAAAGCGACTCCTAAAAGTTATCTTCCAAACTCCACACAAACACAATTCTGTCTTGGCCCACACTCACACACACAGTTGCAGAGGCCTTTTCTCTGAATCGAGAAGCATTTCCTCCAGAAGGGCTTAGGGAGGGGAGGCTCATGAAACTCAAAGAGTAAACGAACTTCACTTGTCTAGAAAAGTGCATGATTGAGAAGGCCCCTCCCCCAGGTTACAGAAGCTTTAAATAGCTACCTGGTGCTGAGGGGAGTCTCTGATCAACAAAGTTGTCCAGATGGATTCTAGAACTCTCTGAGTTACCTGCAGATTGTATGGAGAGCTCTATGGTAGACACTTTCATAATGTGGCACCTGTGTTGGGGTGATCTTTTTGGTGACACAGCAGCATTTGCGTTGTTCTTACTCTTCTAAGTAACCACTCATGTGTAGTGCTGTTAGTTACCCCTAAAGAACTCATTAGTTCACCAAGCTGGACTTTGGAGGAATCATTATGTACGGGTTCACAACTGAAGTAAGTGGGTATGTATTTGTGTCCTGTTTCCTGAGGAAGCTCACACAACATGAGCATGCACGCAGACACACACACACACACACACATACACACACACGCTCATGGGAAAAATACAATAACAATAATAATAATAATGGTAATAACAATAAAATTTAGAGCAGTTTTCTTCCTTACTTTCAAATTACAACACCTTTTCTTTACTTTCTTTTGTTAAAGAGTGAAAGTGTATCACACTGGTTAGGATCTGTAGTATAATATTGAATGAGAATGTTGAAAGCACATGTCCTTGCCTTGTACCTCACCTTGGGGGGAAATTCTGTGTCTTGCACTGTTAAGTACAACAACAGCTATGAATCTTTGAGGATTTCTTCTTCATATTGAAGGAAGTTTCCTCATATTTTTTCTTGCAGAGAATTATTGCTTTGTCCCTTAGGATCACTGTCTTCCATTGCTTAACATCTAGAAACTTGAAAATATATATTTTGTTAATTGTGGGTTGTTTTGCACAAGATGGTAAAATCAATCCCTGCTATTCCATCATGGCTAAAATAAAAAATTTAAAACTGCTTTTCAAAACTGAGAAAACTGTCATGGAATCTAATAGTAACTGGATCTGGTTATGGCTACTATGGCAACCATTGTTTCTGCTGAAACTCAGGAGTTCTGAGTCTCCAAGTGAGGCTGTTTTCCCAGATGAGAGTGGTTACTACTTGGGGATCCTGCCAAGAAGCCATGGGGCCCTTCTCTTTGTTTGTGTGACCTTGAAGTTCACCTTCCCTTTCAGCTTTCAGTGTGACATTAAAGGGGGATGTGTAGAGAGTAGCTCCTGCACATTAATCATCTAGCACATTCTGTGTCATAAATAGGTTACCTTGTCACCTGGGAAGAAGAGACTGGAATTGTTTGGCACATCCACATAATCGCAGCCTCAATGGAGAACTGAGGATCTGGAGTTGGGGTCTGGCCTGGACTATGGAGTAAGAAGCACTGCCCTCCCCCCAATTAAAACTTTACAGACACATGTATTTATAAGTTTATATTGCACATGTATACAGGAGATGTGGGGACCAGAGAGGTCTGTTTCAGGTGTCACTTCTCAGGGTAACTTCCACCTCTTTTTGTGACGATTAAAGGGAGTTATTGAAGAGCAAGAGTTTCCACTAGATTCTCCCAGACTCTCTGAAAAGTTCGGCTCTACAACACTTGGATTATGGGTCCTTCCGGAGGCATCACCATCCCTGACTTCAAGCTCTATTATAGAGCTATAGTCCTGAAAACAGCTTGGTATTGACACAAAAATAGACAGGTGGACAAATAGAATCGAATCAAAAACCTTGATATTAACCCACACACCTACAAACAATTGATTTTTGACAAGGAAGCTAAAATTATACAATGGAAAAAAGAAAATATCTTCAACAAATGGTGCTGGCATAACTGCATATTGGCATGTAGAAGACTGCAGAGAGATCCATGTCTATTGCCATGTACAAAGCTTAAGTCCAAATGGATCAAAGACCTTAACATAAATCCAGCCACACTGAACCTCTTAGAAGAGAAAGTGGGAAGTACTCTTAAATGAATTGGTACAGGAGACTGCTTCTTGACCATAACACCCATAGCACAGACACTGAGATCAACAATTAATAAATGGGACCTCCTGAAACTGAGAAGCTTCTGTAAGGCAAAGGACACAGTCAACAAGACAAAATGGGAAAAGACATTCACTAACCCCATATCTGACAGAAGGCTGATCTCCAAAATTACAAAGAACTCAAGAAACAAGTCTTCAAAACACCAAAGGATTCAACTAAAAAGTGAGCTACAGAACTAAATAGAGATTTCTCAATAGAGGAATCTAAAATGGCTGAGAGACACTTAAGAAAGTACTCAACAACCTTAGTCATCAGGGAAATGCAAATCATAACAAATCTGAGATACCATCTCATTCCTGTCAAAATGGCTAAAATCAAAAACTCCAATAACACTTTATGCTGGAGAGGATGTGGAGAGAGGGGAACACTCCTCCACTGCTGATGGGAGTGCAAACTGGTACAGTCACTTTGGAAATCAGTATGGAGATTTCTCAGGAAAATTGCAATCAGTCTACCACAAGACCCAGCAATTCCACTCTTAGGCATATACCCAAAATAAGCACACTCATATAACAAGGATGTCTGTTCCACTATGTTCATAACAGCATTATTTGTAATAGCCAGAACCTGGAAGCAACCTAAATGCCCCTCAACTGAAGAGTGGATAGAGAAAATGTGGTACATTTACACAATGGAGAACTATTCAGTGGAAAAACACAATAGAATCTTGAAATTTGCAGGCAAATGGATGGCACTAGAATAAACCATCCTGAGTGAGGTAACTCAGTCACAAAAAGACAAATATAGTGTGTACTCACTCATATATGGATTTTAGGCATGGATCAGGGGAGTGCCAGACTACAATCCAACTGCCAGAGAGTTTGGAAAACAAGAAGGATCCTAAGAGAGATATCATCATGCCCCAGAATAGGAAAATGAGCCAAGATCTCCTGAGCAGATTGGGAGCATGGACTGAGGAGAGAGGGAGCAGAAAAGAGAGGGAGAGAAGAGGAGAGGAGAGAAGAACATGGGGGAGCAGGAAGGATGAGTCAGGGGAAGAATAGAGGAGAGAAGGATGAGAGATACAATAATAGAGGGAGCCACTATAGGTTTGAGCAGAGATCTGGCACTAGTGAGATTTCCAGAGATCTACAAGGATGACACCAACTGGCAATTTAAGTAATAGTGGACAGACTACTTTAAATGCCCATCCCTGATAATGAGTTTGACAACTACCTTATATGCCATCCTAGAACCTTCAGCCAGTGACTGATGGAAGCAGAG